CCTCCACAGATGCTGCCAGACCTGCTGCGCTTTTCCAGGAACTTTGTTTTTGTTCCTGATTTACAGCATCCGCAGTTCTTTTGGTTTTTATTGAGATTCAAGGGGCACAGTGTTAGACATGTCCCCACAAAGATCAAGGGTGTCACTGTCAAATCCAGAGTCCCCTAGTTATCTAGAAGCAGACTGGGTAAGAAAGAGCAGTAAAATAGAGCTTATGACAATCTGAAAGTAGGTAACACTTTAGAAAGTTTGGAGGAGTACAGAAGGTTCAGGGGTGAAACGAGAAGGAAATGAAGACCAAAGAGAGGAATTTCAGAATAAAGGGAAGACAAAAATGTGGTGATTTGTATCGAAAGTGCAAAAACAGAAACTTCATGAATGAGGTTGAGGACAATGTATAAACAAAAAGTGCTGGAGAAACTCAGCAGATCCAGCAGCATCTTTACAGAGAGAAATAGTTAATGTTTCAAGTCCAGAAATGAGGCCAGGTGCCTTTATTAGAGTTGGCAGCAACTTAGAGCAATTTGCAATTCATGGGATATTGCTTTCCTCCTGCCACAAGATTCTGACTGATTTTCACATCAATAATCTATACTATTCACATGTCCTGCCACAGTCTGGGCTAACTTTGTTCCATCAATGAAAGAAGTTGAGTGAAGCCACAAGGGGGCAGCAAAAGACCACATTTCATTTGCCTTATTCTGCAGCATTGAAGATTCCAATAATCAGTGAAATAGATTTTACTATCATTAATGTTCAGAACATGGATTCAACGTGAAAACCAGAAGAGAAGGTTAATTTAAACAATTTGGAAGCTAAAACAACCTAGCAAAGCCAGGTCTGTGTTTCTGCTATTCCCTCTCCTGTCTGCTTGTTCATAGGTTGTTCCAAAAGGTGTCAGGATCCACATTCAGACTTGTGACAAAGTGTCATTGTGAATCCTGTTTTTTTATATTTGAGCTGCCGAAATTGGCTGGAATTGAGATTCAATTAAGCACGAAATAGCAGCAACCGCCCTGGATTTTAACCAGTTACAGTAACTGGCATAGGGCTGGGATTCCAAAAACTGTAGGAAACAAATTTACTGAAAGTTAGAAGAAAATATTTCAGACAACGTCAATATTGGAATCTGAAAAAATGCCTTTGCTGTTCAAATCACAAAAGATGACTCTACAGATTCATGCCTCCCTCCTGCTCCTCTGCAAAACCCAAAAACAAGATGTGGAATCAAATCTCAAATCCTGCACCTGCCAATCACCCGGTCTGTGTTAATACCATAACACTGGCTAATTCTAATGAAGAGTATCTTCCTTTAATTTCACAGGATGTGAGCTGGCTGGCTCAGTATATGGTTCCCATTGTTAAGGGTCACCCACATTGCTGTGTGTCTGGAGACACACATAAAATAGAATCCCTACACTGTGGAAACAGGTCATTTAGCCCATTGCATGCATACCTACTCTCCAAAGAACATCCCACCCAGACTCATCCTATCCCTGTAGCCCTGTATTTGCCATGGCTAACCCACCAGCCTGCACATCCCTGGGCACTATGGGCAAGTTAGCACAGCCAATCCACCCTAATCTGCACATCTTTGGACTGTGGGAGGAAACTGGAACACCCGGAGGAAACCCACGCAGACACGGGGAGAATGAGCAAACTCCACACAGACAGTCACCAGAGGGTGGGATCGAACCCAGGTTCCTTGTGCTGTGAGGCAGCAGGGCTAACCACTGACCACTGTGCCACACCTACATTGACCAGACTAGATCAGAACAACACATTTTCTTCCCTAAATAACATCGGCAAATCAGGCTTCACAGTCATCATTAGACTCTAAATTCCAGGTTTGTTACTGAACTCAAATCCCACTGTCTGCCATAGCGGGATTTATGGCCATTGCTGCAGTCTCTGGATTAATAGTCTGTCTGATGATAAGAGTGCCAGGTCATGGCCCCATTGACAAACCTGTCTCAGTCAGTAACAGAAAGTGATGTTACTGATGGATCATTAGCCTGTACCTTGACAGTGTGAACAATGCACAGCCCTGCACTGTGTGCTCTGGGTTCCTATCACCACTGGCAACAAACTTTGTCTCTGGTTGTACTTACGAGCTGTTGATAATGTGGAATTTCTCTCCTTTCTTGAAGGTGAGGTCATCCTCTGTCCTGGCATCGTAATCATACAGTGCTATAAACAGGGTCACGCCTCCTGTCACAACCAAACACAAAATACAATGAAAGGCAGCAGAATGGTAGGAGAAGAAAACAATTCCAACAGCTTTCATCACCCTTTCCCCTTCCACATTGTCTGAGGGAAGATTCCTCTCAAGTTCCAGATGCAGGAAGCACTTCCTTCACCAATGGATTTACAATTCAACAGTAAGAAACTCTTCCCCCGACTCTAACACTAGTGACAGCTGGGGGATTTTGCACACAACATAGGAACTAGCGTTGGCCATTCAGCCCATCAAACCAACTGTGTCATTCTAGATCATGGCTGGTGATCTCCTCAATGCCATGTTCCTACACCACCCCAATGTCATTGAACCACAGAAACCTACAGACCTCAATTTTAAACCTGCTCATTGACTGAGCTCCCACAGCTCTGAGATAAAGATTCATTACCCTCAGTGAAGAAATTCCTCCTCAACTTACTCCTGAAATGCCTGCCCCTTACCCTGACACAGTGCCTCGTTCTAGCCCCCACAGTCAGGGAGAGGCATCCTTTCTGAGCCACCCTGCAAAAATTTTGTAAATTTTAACGGACATTGCACGGTGGTTGTATCAGGTGCATGATTGACAGATGCTGGGCAAATGACATGGATATATTGAAGATCCCTCCATGATTGACTGTTCTGAAAGGTGTTAATGATGAAGCCAGGATATAGATCAGACTGACATTCTCATGAACAGAGTTTGAGGCAGTCTAACAGCTCAAGATATAATAGGAGTAGACAGGTTACATACAGAGAGAGAGATGGACAGAGTGAGACAGACACAGAGGGACAGAAAGAGAGAGACAAACAGACAAACACACAAGCAGAAAGACAAAACGGAGAGACACAGAGAGAGAGAGAGAGAGAGAGAGAGAGAGAGAGAGAGAGAGAGAGA